CACACACACACACACAGACACACACACACACACAAAAAGAAAAAAAAACGACCCCAGACTATTTTGACGAACTTTGCATACTCCTCCTGTAGAGGGACATGCCCGACTGAACGCAAGATCCGCACGCAGACCCGGATCCGTGCGCCCCTGGCTCGGCAGCATCCTGCAAGATCCAGAACTCTGGCTGACCCCCGTTTCCCTTGACCCCCGTTTCTCGTGGAGGGCGTCCAAGAGGAGGGATGTATCGCCGCATCGCCGATGCATCGGCAACGCATCGCCAATGTGTTGGCGATGCATTGGCCATTCACTGGCGACGTCGGCGATGCATCGGCGACGTCGGCGTGGGGAAACACTTTTTTGATTCGCGGGTCGAGAGCGCACCTCTTCCGGTCGAAGCTAAGCGGGCCGCGCAGAGCTTGAATTAACCAGAGAGGAAGGAGGAAAAGGGGGGCGCAGCCTCAGAACGAGGCCGGGAGGAGGCAGAGCCTCGGGATCAGGCGGTGCCGTAGTCGACGTACTTGCAAAGGAGCGCCTTTTCCACACCAAGCCGCATCGTGGATGCATCGGCGATGCGGCGCGATCCTCCGACACGCCGACACCCCTCCACTCGGACCCCACCTGGGAGGCCCAGAGGCCTCGAGCCCCGACCCTCGGTGGGCCGGGGGGCCGCCGGCCTCCGCCCACCCCGGTCCGAGGAGGAGGAGGAGGAGGAGGAGGAGGAGGAGGAAGAGGAGAAGGGGGAGGAGGAGGAGGAGGAGGAGGAGGAGGAGGAGGAGGAGGAGGAGGAGGAGATCAGGAGGAGGAGGAGGTCGGAGGAGGAGGAGGAGGAGAGGGAGGGGGAGGAGGAGGAGGAGGAGGAGGAGGAGGAGGAGGAGGAGGAGGAGGAGGAGGAGGAGAGGAGGAGGAGGAGGAGGAGGAGGAGGAGGAGGGGGAGGTGGAGGAGGAGCCCCTGGGCGCGGGGCGGCGGGGCCTGAAGGCAGGCGCGCGCCTGCTCGGCCGCCGCGAAGAAGACGAGCGCGGCGCCTCGCCGGGGCGCGCCGCAGCGGCTCGCCGCCCTCGGCTCGCGGGCGTCGCTGGGCTTGGGTCGGGCATGTCCCCCCACAGGCGGATTTTGGAAGAACAAGTGCAAAATACAGGTTATAAAAAGATGCTCAACGATACGGCCAAACATAACTCGAAGAATCGTGCCAGGACTATTTTGTGGCCATTTGGGGATACTCCTCCTGTAGAGGGACATGCCCGATTCGACGCTGCACGTCGGACGTCGCCGCCGCATAGAGGCTCGGAGATCGAGGCCTGCGAGGGGGGCACGAAGCTGGCACGCGGCGGAGAGACCTCCTGTGACCCCTCGGTTTGGTTGCCTTCGGCGCGCGGCCCTCGGGGCCGGCGGGGGGCTCAGATCCAAGCAGGCCGGCGACGACGGACACAGGGGCGCGCCTGCGCCTCACAGGCTCTGCAGTTGCTCTGTGCTCTGCGGCGACGCCGCCCTGCCGGCGGCGGCTCCGGCCCGCACCACGGCCGCGGTCGCCGCCGCCTCGGCCGCGGCCGCCGCCGACTGCGAGGCCGCACACCTCGGCCGTGCCGCTGGCAGGGCGGCGTCGCCGCCCCGCACCTCGGCGGCGGCAGTCGCGGCCTCGGCACGGCCCTGCGGCTGCGAGGCCGCGCCGGCAGCGCCGCCGCGCCGCCCCTCGGCCGCGCCCGCCGTGGCCCTCGCAAGCCTCTGCCCCTCGGCCGCGGCCTCTTCGGCCTCCAGTCGGCCGCACGCGACCTGGGAGGCGCGCTCAAGGCTGGCTCTGGGCGTGGCCGGCGGGGTCCCCCTCGACAAGGTGCTGGACGCTCGCGTGCCGATCTGGAGGTCCTGGAGCACAATGCGCACGACACCCTCGCCGTGGGGCTGCCCGCCCCGGGGTGGTGTCAGGTCGAGCCTCACATAAGCCGAGACCGATCGCCACGTCCGGCGCGCTCCGCTTGTGGCCGCGGGGGCGGAGCACTTCATGTGGAGCCGCTCGCTGCATTGCTTGTGACCAGAATCGGATCCCTCCTCCAATAGATCGATATACGCCTGCTGGACCCAGCGTATAAAATCTGCTCGTGCGCGTGGCCTCAGCGCGGCCAGGAGCTTGCTGTTGACCTCCAGATGCTTAGCGAATGCGGGGCTGGCGTACCTCACGGTGTAGCCTGAGGTTAGGATGTCGATCCAGCCGATGGCCTCAGCCTCGATCGAGAACTCCACGTCCCACGAGAGAGCGTCGGAGTTCACATCCGACGAATCCTGGGTGGAGTCCACTGCTGGCGCGGGTGGGGCCCAGGAAACTGCCTCTGGGGCAGCAGCTCTATGAAAGTTGCCCTGACGCACCTCCGCCGCACTGTCCACGGTGAGTATCGGGCTGATGTCCGTAAACTCTCGGATCCCGACAAAATACGCCGCTTGCGCACCCCGGTTCACGAAGGGCACGGAGAACACCTCGACGACGAGGGGTATGCTGGAGCTGTCTTTCATGGAAACGTGGAAGGCCGCGCTGAGCCCCACCACGTCGTCGCTCTGATCCTAGGACTGGCCCATCTGCTCGGTGAACTTCTGGCGATCCTGCTCGGACGCCAGGAACAACCTCACGTCCTCGCCCAAGAGGGATCGCTGCGAGTTCAGCAAGAGCATGTTGACGAGCTCGGGGGACTCGTCCTGCAGACAGAAGTCGCTATCGAGCTCCACCACCACGTCGCAGACACACCGCAGCACCGAGCGCGAAGCCTGCAGCTCATTCCTCGACATGCGGGCCTCCATCTCGTACTGCGCGGCCAGACAGATGTACCGGTGCAGGCAGATGACGCAGGCGGTCAGCATCAGGCCCGCCTGACAGATGTGCGCCGAGTAGCGCACGCGGCGGGCTTCAAAGTCGCAGGCCGTGAGCGGGTCAACAGTGCCGCACAGGATCGAGCTGCAGAGCGTCGCGGTCAAGACCAGCAACCAACACGCGTTCAGTCGCACGTTCACGTTGAACAAGCACAGCACCATGATAGCTGCAAAACACATCGGGGCAGACGAAGCCGCATAGTTTGCTTCTATGGCGAATGGCGATCCATACATAGTGATGCACACTGCAACGGTGGAGGACCAGGCGTTCAGGGTGCTCAGCGTCACCACGCTAGGGCATGCCCCAAGGAAGAGAACAATGAAGCAGCCCGCCAACGTGGAGACGTCCTGCACCGGCGAATTGAAGCGAGGGGATGGCCTGATGCAATGCACGAGAAGGGCCACGACAACGATCGAGGTGGCGACGACACCATAGATGAGCCAGCTGTGGGCGCGGATCAGGCGCCTCTTCTCCAGCTCCTTCGCGGCGGGGCCGCTGACCGTGCGGAAGAGCATGGAGACGGAGCGCCTGCAGAATCTGATCAAACGGACAAGGCAGTGACGCACCGAACATGAATCGGCGGCGAGCGAGGGGGGGGGAAGTGACAAGAAGAAGACCTTCTCAAAGGCGGCAAAACTTCTCAGAAGCCCTCGCGCCTTCCGAGAGTTTTTGTGTAGCATGGGGAGGTTTAGAAAACTTCTCAGAAGGCCGGGGGACTTCCGAAACTTCTGAGGAAGGCCTTCTCTTTCTCACTTCCCCCCCTCGCTCGCCGCCGAATGAAGCTGACTTGTGCCTCACCAGGCTCACCACGCGGACCACGAGCACAAAGCCGCCGATCACGAACCAGACGACACACGACATGGCAACCACTGTGCGGCGGGAGCCCTCCTCCAGGAAGTTCTCGGAGGTGGACTCCATGGCTGCTGGCATGGGCGACGTCAGTGCCTCCAGCTATATTTCGCGCGTGCCGCCAAGTCCAGACCTCGCAAACCCAGCACGAGGAGTGGTCTGGTAGACGGGAGGCTCGCGCACGCTGCGACCTTGAGCCAGAATGGTTACGGAGGAAAGCGTTCGGCAAATCTTGAACGTGTCGATCTCCAGGGCTCGCGCACGCTGCGATCTTGAGGGGAAATGACTACGGAGGGAAGCTTGGCAAATCTTAGAGCGTGTCAATCTCGTGACCTCTTCCTCGGCTGATTTGAGGTGGTGCCCACCACGTTCGGCCCCCAGGAGAGGCGTCTCGTCACCACGGCAGCGTTCCCCTTCGAAACTCTGGCCAAAGTGCACCCCGGGAGAGGTGCCGAGGCCGAGTTTTCAAGAGGCGTCGTCGTCGTCGTCGCACGTCAATCGTCGGAAATCGTCGGATGTCTGAGGTCGTCGGGCGTCGTCGTCGGACCTCGTCGGACATCGTCGTCGTCATCGTCGTCGTCGCGGGACGTTGTCGTCGTTGTCGGCCGTCGTCGTCGTCGTCGGATGTCGGACGTCGGACGTACTGCTCGGATGTCGGAAGTCGTATGTCCCCTTCTGTCCTCCTCGTCCTCGCCCTCGTCGGTAGTCATCGTCGTAATCGTCGTCCTCGTCGGACGTCGTTCGTCGGAAGTCGTCGTCGGACGTCTTCGTCGGACATCTTCGTCGTTGTCGGACGTTGTCGTTGTCGTTGGACGTTGGACGTTGGACGTCGGACGAGGTCCTCGTCGTCGACCACCGCGGCGCTGAAGGAGCCGAGGCTGTTACGGGCCCTCCTGGTTCGCCGACGCCGTCGTTGGACGTCGGACGTCGGACGCTGTCCTCGTCGTTGACCACCGCGGCGCTGAAGGAGCACAGGCTGTTACGGGCCCGCCTAGTTCGCGACCGAGAGGGGATGGAGTCCTCTCGCGTCGGACTCGAAGTTGCCCCCAGACCTCCAATGTTCGAGTTGGAGATCGACTGCATAATTGATTTCCAAAATTATCCTGGCGAAGGGCCCAAACATATGCAGTTGTGGGTACCGCAATTGTGAATATCTTCTTCGGTGAAGCTCCCTATGGGGCCACGAAGCGCTGCACATGGTGGGGGGGGAACGCATGCGGGCGGTAGCACTGGGGCCGTCGGTGGAGCTCCCTGTGGTGCCACGAAACGCTGTGCTGGATGGGTGAAAATGCCAAGTTGGGTGTGTGGGACGCATGCGGACGGTCCCAGTGAGGGCTTCGGTGGAGCTCCCTACGGGGCAACGAAACGCTGCACAGGGTGGGTGAAGCTACCCACTTGGGCTTCCGACGCGCATGCGGACGGTCCCACTGGGGGCTTCGGTGGAGCTCCCTATGGAGCCACGAAGCGCTGTACTGGGTGGGTGGAAATGCCACATCAGGTTTCCGGGACGCATGTGGGCGGTCCCACTGGGGGCTTCGGTGGAGCTCCTTATGGAGCCACCAAACGCAATAGTGGGTGGGTGAAAATGCCAAATTGGGTGTGCGGGACGCATGCGGACGGCACCACTGGGGGCTTCGGTGGAGTTTCCTATGGGGCCACGGAACGCTTTCCTGGGTGGGTGAAACAGCCAAAATAAATGTGTGGGACGCATGTGGTCCCTATTGGGGCCACGCTGTACTGGGTGCGTGAAAATGTCAAATTGCGCGTGCGGGTCGCATGCGGGCGGCCCCCCTGGGTGCTTCGATGGAGCTCCCTATGGGGCCACGAAACGCTGCACTGGGTGGGTGAAAATGCCAAATTGCGTGTGCTGGACGCATGTGGACGGTCCCACTGGCAACGAAACGCTGTACTGGGCGTGGCGGACGCATGTGACCACCCGCACTGGGGCCTTACGTGGAGCCCCCCATGGGGCCACGAAACGCTGTACTGGGTGTGGCGGACGCATGTGGCCACCCCCCACTGGTGCCTTACGTGGAGCTTCCTATGGGGCCACGAAACGCTGCACTAGGTGTGGCAGACGCATGTGGGACCCCCGGCTGCGGCCTTAGGTGGAGCTCCCTATGGGGCCACGAAGCGCCGCACTGGGTGTGGCGGACGCATGTGGTACCCCCCACTGGGGCCTCAGGTGGAGCTCCCCACGGGGCCACGAAAAGCTGTACTGGGTGTGGCGGACGCATGTGGCCACCCCACACTGGGGCCTCACGTGGAGCTTCCTATGGGGCCACGAACAGCCGCAGCGGGTGTGGCGGACGCATGTGATACCCCCCAAGTGGGGCCTTAGGTGGAGCCCCCTATGGTGCTACGAAACGCCGTGCTGGATGTGGCAAACGCCTGTGGTACCCCCCACTGGGGCCTCAGCTGGAGTTCCCCATGGGGCCACGAAACGCTGCACTGGGTGTGGCAGACGCATGTGGTACCCCCGCCCTGGGGCCTTACGTGGGGCTCCCTATGGGGCCACGAAACCCTGTACTGGGTGTGCACGAAATGATGTACTGAGTGTGGCAGCCGCATATGATACCCCCCACCTTGGGGCCTCACGTGGAGCTCCATATGGGGCCACGAAACGCTGTATTGGGTGTGGCAGACGCATGTGGTACCCCCGCCCTGGGGCCTTACGTGGAGCTCCCTATGGGGCCACGAAGCGCTGTACTGGGTGTGGCAGACGCATGTGGTACCCCCGCCCTGGGGCCTTACGTGGGGAACCCTATGGGGCCACGAAACGCTGTATTGGGTGTGGCCGAAATGTTGGATTGAGTGTGGCAGGCGCATGTGGTACCCCCCCCCCTTGGGCATCACGTGGAGCTCCCTATGGGGCCACGAAACGCTGTACTGGGTGTGGCAGACGCATGTGGTACTCCCCCCCTGGTGCATTCGGTGGAGCTCCCTATGGGGCCACGAAGCGCTGTACTGGGTGTGGCAGACGCATGTGGTACCCCTACTGGGGGAGGCACGAGAGGAGGACACAGAGACGCGGGGACCGTTTCTTCAAAACGAGGACCCACCACCACAGGATGGTTGAGAAATTATCCTGTGGCGTACCCAAGCCTTTTCTAGACATGTGGCGATTATACCCAGGACCACTCAATGCCGACTGGCATTCTGAAGGACCCGCAGTGCGCAGAACGAGCACCCAACAGTGCTTTCAGCAGAGCGCAGCAAGAAGTCCCGTGATGATCCGCGTATGACGTACCTCCGCTGGGCCTCCCAGGAGCCCACGAAAGTGGCGACAGTTGCGCGGATCGCAGCCCCTAAAGAGGGGAGCGAGGTCCCGTGGTGATCCGCGTATGACGTACCTCCGCTGGGCCTCCTAGGAGCCCACGAAAGTGGCGACAGTTGCGCAGATCGCAAGCCCCCAAAGGCGGCGGCGAGGTATCGAGGTGATCCGCGTGGGACGACCCACCTCCGCTGGGCCTCCCAGGAGCCCACGAAAATGGCGACAGTTGCGCAGATCGCAAGCCCCCCAAGTCCCGAGGTGATCCGCGTGGGACCCACCTCCGCTGGGCCTCCCAGGAGCCCACGAAAGTGGCGACAGTTGCGCAGATCGCAAGCCCCCCAAGTCCCGAGGTGATCCGCGTGGGACCCACCTCCGCTGGGCCTCCCAGGAGCCCACGAAAGTGGCGACAAGTACGCAGATCGCAAGCCCCCCGGGGGGCGGCGAGGTCATGTGGTGATCCGCGTATGACGTACCTCCGCTGAGCCTCCCAGGAGCCCACGAAAGTGGCGACAGTTGCGCAGATCG